GTTCTTTTTTTTTTTTTTTTTTTTTTTTTGTGTGTGTGTGTGTGTGTGTATGGATGTATATAACCTGCATGTATGTAGGCACACCCATGTTGTGCAGTCCTCTCAACATGCCACTCGTGAACTCAAACTGTTTTCCCGGTGGCTTTGATCAAATGAGGATTTTAAAATGGTTTATACACAGCAATCAACTGCTATCTTCAAGTTCATTTTTAATGTTTTTTAATTTTTCCTTGTAATCTTGTCATTATTATTTTAATCAGATCATTTGTCCTGTATATCTTGCAGTATGACTTTTGCTATGTGTACCTCCTATGGTGATTTAACATGTTCCTCTGTAGCTTAAATTTCTTACAAACCAGTAGGTCTTTTAAACTTTATGGGACTCTAAGCACACTTATTTCAAGTTCATGGAGCATGGTCTTCTATTGCATGACCTTGGGCAGAACATTTGGTTGCCTGTTAGGAAATGTGAAGACTGGCCAGTGGGTCCAGGTGTTGTCAGCCTGGTCCATGAGTACCTACCTACCCATCAGCATTCTATCTAACACTTTATTATTTTTATTTTATGTAAGTGTATTGCCTGCGTGTATGTAAGTGCACTCGTGTGGTGTAATGCCAGTGGAAGGTCAGAAAAGGGTGTCAGATTCCCCTGGAACTGGACTTATGAACAGTTGATAGCAGCCATGTGGGTGCTGGGAATCAAGCCCAGGTCCTCTGCAAGAGCAGCCAGTGCTCTAAGTGCTGAGCCATCTGTCCAGTCCCTATTTGATGGTTTTTAACAACCTCTGGAGAGGCCCAACTTCTTAACTGCTATAAATATTAACATTCTATTTCTACCGTAACTTCTGCATTGCTAAACTGGAATTATTCCACAAAGTACCCTCCCTCGGGGATTTAGTTACCTTAAGGTAGAATTTGTATAAAGTTGTTAGAATTAATATAGCAGTGGATCTTTCTCTCCTGTTCTCCAGCCCAAAAAGGCTCAATTGACTCTCCAGTGTTAAACCATTAAAACAATCCAACACTTCCAAAGCCCAGAGAGGTGCCTTCTGTAAGTCCCAGCACTATCTAGGTGCTCTTGCTTCTTCGACTCCTGAATTTAGAACTGACACTGGACAGTAATATTTGGCAGCACAGTACTTAATTTTCTCCATGGTCAAACACGGAGTCAGACATTTACTACACTGTGAAGCTCCTGGAGGTCTAACCATTAACTGACTAACACCCCTTGTGGTGCCATGTCCAGTGTGGAGGAAATTGTTTTCATTGTTTTTGGAAAAGGGCCTCATGTAACCCAAGTGGGACTCCAACTCACTGTGTAGCTGGGAACCCTGAGCTCCTGACCCTCCAGCTCCCAAGGGGTGAGACTATAAGACCACAGGCATGCACCACCATGCCCAACAAACTTTAAAACTGAGGATGCAATTCTAACAAAGCAAGTGGGAAAGATGGATTTTGTCTGCTCAGATAAAAATCACAGTACTGGGGCTGGAGAGATGGCTCAGAGGTTAAGAGCACTGGTTGTTCTTACAGAAGACCTGGGTTTGAATCCCAGCACCCACATGGCAGCTAGCAACTGTCCATAATTCGTTCCAGAGGATCCAACACCATCTTCTGACCTCTGTAGGAATTGCATGGCACAGGTGCACTTACTTACATGCAGGCATAACACTCATATACAGAAAATAAATTTAAAAATTAAAAAAAATATAGGAGGCTGGAGAGATGGCTCAGCAGTTAAGAACACTGACTGTTCTTGCGGAAGACCTGGGTTCAAATCCCGGCACCCATATGGCAGCTAACAACTGTCTGTAACTCCAGTTTCAGGGGCTCTGACAGCCTCTTCTGTCTTCCAAGGGCACTGCATGACACGGGTGCACTTACCTACATGCAGGCAATACACACATACATATAAAATAAAAATATTTTTTAAAAAATTAAAAAATATAATACCAACAGTGGCTCTGGAGCAAAGGAGGCCCTTCAAAAGGCACCTGAGTAGAACTGTGGTTTTAAAACAACCCAGGTAGCATAGAGATATCTTTATTAAAAATATATATTCTCATAATAATATAAACACCATAACAAAGATCTTAAAGTATAACTCTACAGCCTGGAATACAGTAGGTATCCAGCATCTGTTAATAAAATGAACAGTCTGAGAACATATTTATTCACTTAATAAAAAGTGAAATGCATTTAGGATTATTCTGACAGTCTCACTGAACACTTTTTTAAAAATAAAATGTATTTTCAATTACTAGTGTATTTTACCCAGCTTTTTATGTCAGTGTTACTACGGTGCTAAAACTAGCCATGACTTGCATCAACTATCTTTTTGAGTTTGAAAATACACTATGCAGATTAAAACAGCAGCCTTTGAATCTTACTTCATTGGTAGTTATGTTCAGAATGACATGAAATACTCAGAACTGTTTAATGTTCCATCAGAGAGCAGTTAGTTTTCATTTATCACAGAAACAGCACAGCAACTACCTAAGTGGTCTAAACTGCTGTGTCTGTCAACACTTTCTAAGTTTTTTCTGTAACATTTGACACAATTTGGCTTTCTCAGTAACCCCGACTTCCAAGATTATACTATAATGGAACTAATGGATTTGAAACTTGACTCAGAGTGATATTATTTTCAGAAATGTCTGATACTGGAGACAGAACTCTTAAAAACATTATACACACACACACATATAAAACTTAAGCCACCAAGAACAGTTATCAACTGTGGTTGAATTTTGTCTTCAGGATTCCAGGCAGCATGCATAATCCCCAGAGCTCTCTGAACTACTACCCAAAGTGATACAGGCTTCTCCATTTAGCTCTTTCACCATGCTGATGCCAGTGAAGTAGGTCATTCATATTTTTACCTCTCCACATTCTGATTCTTAATCATGTTTTTCTGCTCTCCCTTGGGACAGCGAGGGAGCGGTAGTTATTTTGCATTCTCAACATGAGCTCAACAGTGGAACCCAACAGTCACTGAACTTTCATTAATTACACAGGTAATCTTGGCACTTCTGCATATTTACCTACTATGGCTTTTCTCCTGACACTCATGTAATCCTCCTTTTGGATGTCACTTACCTGACCCAGTTCCTTTTTGAAGATGATCACTTCACTTGCCTTCTGATTCCAGACATTATAATGCAGATTAACTGTTCACAGAGAAAGTCTAGTAGCTCCCTTCCCAGGTTTATCATACAGGGTATAATCAACAGAAGAGGAAGCAGTTACGAAATGTCACAGCCTTCTTGGCATCTGGGTTCTATACCTAAGAGCGAATTTCTGCTCCTTGGTTACCTCCAGCAAGAATGTTTGGGAGCTATTCCACAACACAAAGATGTCTTGCCTACCAGCCAAAGGTAATTTTATTTTATAAATAAAATACATATTATATATTAATATGTAATTATATAATATATAAATGAAATTCTCACATATACAACTGGCAATCAGGTACTTTGGGGCATGAGGCAAAAACTGCTTCCTAAATTTTCCACATGGCACATCCTGAGCACTCTGACATTGCTCTATTCCCAACTGAGGATGGTATTTATTAAATGTCATTACACCAGCCTATCCTTTCTTTGCTTCAGTGCTTAAGAAGGGCACTCAAAATAGTCTTACCCTTCCCATCAGTGGCTTTTTGCAACTACAAATTACTTAAATGCCTGACAATAGACCTTTGATGAAAAGTTAATTGCACCAAGTAAATGTCAATAACACTGACTGCAAATCTGTATTTCTGACAAGGTAAATTCATCCTGTAGGAATCTTGTCAACAGTGAAAATGTTTAGTTGGTAGTTTTCACCACCATGCAGAGAACCAGAAAAATAAAAAGCTGATTCATTTCTAAGAGATCATAGCAGAAATGTAACTACGCGTCTAAAATGTCAGCTGGTGGCAGTTTCCCTTCTAACAGCAAACAGTAACATATGGAAATACTTACATATCCAGCAAGACAATTATGTTCTCTGTAGGCAGAAGTTTTAGACAAAACTTACTTTAAAAGAACAAGACGAACTACAAATAGAGCACCGAGTTTAAAGTTCAATATTACTAAGAGAATTTGTACTATTTGGGGGTGACAGCTGTTGGTTCCCCATAAAGATGTTGACAGTACAGTGGGCTGGATGATTTGCTTGAATGAAATGTTTTGGAAAACAAAATTGTAGTACAATTAAAATTTGCCAATTCCTCTACAAATCAAGATTTGACAAAGCATATTACAAGTTTCCATTTTTAAAAACAAAACCTAAGTCCTGAGTTCCCTTTGCTCTTATGAAAAGCAATTTGAAAGCCAGTTCTCCCCTTCATTTTAGGAGTCAAGGTTCTTCACTGTCCTTCCTACAAGGAGGTGGTTCTGTCCCGATGAGATCATATTGAGGGTATCCTCAAGGATTAAACCAAGTTTAATCAAGGCACTTTTGAATTACCAGAGCACCAAACTTCTATTGAAAGGGACAAGAGATCTTTTGCTTTCAAAATTTCTTCCTCTGCATGTGCCTTTTTCCTGGCCAAGAATTGCTTTAAAAAAAAAAAAGCATAGAAATGCCACATAAAATTAACATCGTTTATTAAAACACACACACACACACACACACACACAATCAAACAGACCAGTTTGAAAAGAACTAAGATTTACCGTTTACTTCTTCAGGGAAAACAAACATTTAAAAAAACAAGAATCTTCTACACAGACTTCAAGTTTTTATTAGTTAACCAAACTATATTTTCTCTACAAAAAAAAAAAAAAAAAGCATTTTCCTAACCGAAGCAACTCTGTTCTTAGACTTTAAACTCAAGTACCTAGGAAGCTAAACTTTCAACTCTGATCTCTGCTCCTTTACTAAAATGCAGATATAAAGAACCACATTAACATGAAAGCCTAAGGCCAACCCTCCTCTATCCCCCAAAATCACACCATCACAACGCCAGAACTATTTGATCCTTCAAAGTTAAAAGAAAAAACGAAAACACAGCACAGAGTAGAAATAATTTATTTTTGCTTTGTAGAGTAACAAAAATCTGAATAGTGCATTTAAATAAACTCAAGCTTCTCTTTCAAAGTTATAAGCAGTACGAATGGAAACCCTACATTTTAAATGAGAAACTTAAATTTACTGGTCAGATAAAAACCAGATTATAAAAGGTTAAAACATAAAAGTTTGGAATGGCAGGGTGTGCTATGCCGACCTCAACACCAGGTGTGCACGACAGGACACTCATCCACTCCGACTTACAGCTCAAGAATGAAACAAAACACTAAATCTCGCATTAGTTAGCATCATCTGGGGTGCAGAGCTGGGTCGCATCTTACACGTTTCCACTCCTTCCTTAGGAGAGCAAATCCGCAGGCTTAGTTCTTCCCAAGGTTTGAAAGGCACCGCGGACCCCGCCTCGGCCCGCGGCTCGTTCCTCCAGGAAAGGGAAGCTAACGGTTCCGGCCGGCGGGCTGTCCCCGCGCCCCGGAAAACAAAGGGGATTCCCAGCCATTGTGCTCCGCGGCGCTGAGCATCACCAGCACTAGCAAGGCAGTAGCTTGCGCAGTTATCTCCACAGCGGGCAATGTCACAACCCGACCAACAGCACAAACTACTACCTCAGCCAGGGCCATGGTGTCGGGAGCCAGCGGACCACGCGGAGCGGCGGCATCTAGGTCTCCTCTCCGCAGCCGTGCCCGCCGCGCCTTCCCCGCGCGCCCAGACCCCGCCCCGCGACCGCTGCCCACCAGCCCCGCGCTCCGAGCGGACGAAGGGCGGAGGCTCCTGCGCCAGCCGAGCCGACGCTGTGGCGGGTGTGTGGTCTCCGCGGACCGCGCCCTCCCCGGCCCCGCCTCGCCCGAGCACCCTCCCGGGATCGCCCGCGGTTCTGCGGGAGACGGAAGGAGCAGCGAGCCCCGGCGGCCCGGGCGAGCCCCGCCGGCACGCGCAGACACGCGGCCCGTCCCGTGCTCCGGCTCCAGTGCTTGCGGGCGAACCATAGGGATCCTTAAGGAGGCTGGCGCGCTGCTCCCCACGTGACCGCCCGCCACCCCGCCGCCATCTTACACCGGGGCCCCGGCGCCCCCCCCCCCCCCGCCAGCCTCGCCGCGCCTGCAGAAGCCAGCCCCGGCCCGGAATCCGGGCGCCCGGCAGCGCGGCCGACCGCAGGCCAGGCCCGTCCGCTCGGCATGGCCTCGCGGAGCCCCGGTCGCCGGCTCTGCCGCAAAGATGGCGGCCGCGGGGTGGACACGTCGTACCCCGGCAGTCGGCTGAAGTTTCCGGCACCTCCTTTCCTATCCGGCCGGGACCGCCGTCAGCGCTCCACCCCGTGGCTGGGCCACCACATTCCGCAAAAACGGGCGGGAAAGCTGTGCGCCGCCTCTAGTGCGCAGGCGCCCGGCCCGGAGAGTTTTGTCGTCTACTTTTTAGGCCTAATTTGGGAGAAGGCCAACTGCAGCGGAGCCCTATCTCCGCTTGGCCCAGAAAACTTTTTCTTTCTCATTTACATACCCACCCAGGTGTTTTTTTTTTTTTTTTTTTTTTAAGTTATTAAGACTTGCCAGATAAAATATAGAATGCCGAAACTAGAATTCCATATGAATGCGTGTTTTTTTCAAATCCCATGTTCTAAAAAGGGAGTGGGTAGGATATCTGAAATGCAAAATTACCTGTATAGCCACTATTTTACTGTATTTGGCAATCCTATTAGAAAGTTCCCTATGATCTAGACAACTCGTTACAAAAAAATAAAAGACGGACAGACATTGAAATGAAGAGCAACCAGGGACTTCAGACTTTGATCCTTTCATAGCAGCAAAATCTGTCAATAAAGCACAAAGAACACCTATAGCAAATTCCTTTTTTGATCCATTCCCCCATGCAGTACAATTTTAGGGCAACAGGTCCCGAAGCCAACAATATCACCACAAATAAATTTTTGTTTCTACTCTGCAAAGTATATGAGTGATGGGACCCAAATAATTTCTTGGAGTACAGGTTTTCAAATTCAGCAACCTGCCTATGTGTTTCATAACACAAGTATGTGTATATTCAGAATATATGTTTGGATATGCTGAAAGATTTCAACATTATGCTAATCTTAGAATTTTACGTGTTTCTGTTGTTTTTTGAGACAGAGCCTCACTATGTAGCCCTGACTGGTCTGGAAAGCAGAGAGATTCCCATGTGTGAATTGATTATCTGGCTAATTAAAAAAAAATTATATATATTTTTTATGTGTATTTGTGTATTGCCTGCATGAGGGTAAGTGCACCTGTGTTGTGCAGTGCCAGCGGACAAGACGCTGTCGGATCCCCTGTAACTGGAATTGGACTGTTGCTAGCTGCCATGTGGGTGCTAGAATTCGAACCTGGGTCTTCTGTAAGAACAGCCAGTGTTCGTAACTGCTGAGCCATCTCTCCAGCTCTATCCAGCTAATTTTAGCATTTTATATATATGAGACAGGGACTCCCTGTAGCCCCAGCTGGCCTGGATTCGCTATGGAGACCAGGCTGGCCTTGAACTCAAGAGATCCGCCTGCCTCCCTCCCAAGTGCTGGGATCAAAGGCCTGTGCCACCACGCCTGGCAATTTTAACATTTTAAATATTATTTTTATTTTATGTGTATGAGTGTATTGCCTGCCTGTGAGTGCACCCGTGTCGTGCAATGCTGTGTAGGTCAAAAGAGGGTTTCGGATCCCCCTGGAACTGGAGTTAAGGACGGTTTGTAGCTGCCGTGTGGGTGCTGGGAATTGAACCTGCACGAGCTTAACCGCTGAGCCATCTCTCCAGCCCCGATTTTAGCATTTTAAAGTAGGCACTAAAAGCATTTGACCTGGGGTAGTCAATCTGAATATTTCCCAATATTTTTGTATTTATGAGTGCATGAAGAACACACTTGTATTAATACTAACTTACTATTCATGCTGATGATGACCAGAAAGTAGACCACCACACTATCCTGCCTTCATAGGCAGTGACAGGCTCTGTGTGCAGCCATTGTAGCATAGATTTTTAAATGGCCATCAAGTGAACATTTGGTTTAAGAGGTATACAGATTTGCTAGACCAATAAGGTGTCCAGGTAAATTTAGTTCAGCCATTGCACTACTTTATCATTTAAATTATTTTCCTCAATCTGACATCAATATAATCAGCCATACATTGTGCAATTACTACAAATATTTTCCCCCATCACTGATATCCAAATATGTATTATCTATCCAACTTGAGACAGGGTCTCACTATCTAGTCCTGTGTCTGCCTCCCAAGTGCTAGGATTACAGGTGTGCATCACTACACTTAGCTCTAAGCATCTTTTCCAAATATCACTCAAGTAATCCTTTATCATCATCACAACAGGAAAACTCTAACAGCTTTTTAGTTTCCACTTTATATTTCCTATACTTTGTTCTGTTTATAACCATAGATTTATCTTCCTTGGTTTTGGTTAAAATAAAAAAATAAACCTATGGCATTCTAAATTCTTGGCTTTTAAGGAAGTTTTAGATTAGGCTTCAGTACCTCACAGGTAACCTTTTTTATTCCCACACAATATCAAAATGCACTCTTACCCATTCTATTTAAAAATATCTTATCAGGGCTGGAGAGATGGCTCAGAAGTTAAGAACACTGGCTGCTAGGTTCAGTTCCCAGCACCAACATGGCAACTAACAATCTGATTCCCTCTTCTGACTTCTGTGGTCAGTGCACAACATGGGTGTACTTACACACATGCAGGTGATACACTCTTACACATAATAAGTTTTTTAAAATATATACTTTCTCATGGTAGAGATGGCATATCAGTTAGTAGTGAGCACTGTTCTTGCAGAAGACCAGAGATTGGTTCCCAGCATCCATATTAGGCAGCTCATAACAGCCTGCAACTCCAGCTGGAAGGAATCTGATGCCCTCTACTGGACTCCTTGCACGCATGTGCACACACCTCCCTCCTATAAACACATTAAAAAAAAAAAAAAAGCTTAAAACCACCTTTTTATGTCTTTGCCTATATTCCCCACCCCCCAAATCCTTTAGTTTAGACCCATCCATTAAAACTCGGCTGTGTATCTACCCCTGAGCCTTTTCATTTCTTTATTGGTCTGCTGCTCGAATATCAATAGCAATAGAAACAGGAAGCACAGGTGACTCTGTTAATCTCTATTGCCTTTGCTGTATTTTCCACACCTGGTGAAGGTCTGTATTCCTTGTAATCTCTGAAGGTTAGAGATAGGCATTATAGTGTTATTGATGACACATCAGTACTTACATTCAGCATTATTTTAGGTATGTGGTTTTCTCATCTAGCTAAAATATTCTTTAATGACTTCTGTCATATGACAAGGACAAAGTAAGGTGCACACAGATTCATACATGATGGCAGTACAGTAAAAGGCAAAAAATTTGTTCATAAGATGGGATGGATTTTCTGCCCATTTCTTGAATAATGTATGCTAAATGCATTTTACTTCTATCACAACCTAAAATTTGCCATGTGGCAGGCATAACGCTTTCTAATACTCTTTTAACCCTATGCATTAATCATCACTATTAACTCCATTTCATAGACAAGACCACCAAAGCCAGTTAACTTACTCAGGTCACATACTTAGTAAATTACAGGGATTTGAATTTAAATAAAATTTTAAAATTATTTTTACTTCATGAGTATTGTCTGCATGCATGTAAGTGCACCTGTGTTGTGCAAAGCCTGTGGAGGTCAGAAGGGGCATCGGATCCCCTGGAACTGGAACTATGGATGGTTGTTACCCACCATGTGGGTGTTGGGATTTGAACCCAGGTCCTCTTCAACAGCAGCCAGTGCTCTTAACTGCTGAGCCATCTCTCCAGGTCCCATCCCCCATGGGATTTGAATTTAAGAAGACTCTGATCTCTTAGTAATATAGCTTCTTAAAACAAGGAACAAACCAGCTGTTTTAAACAGATAAGCTATTTTAAACTTGACCAGTAATAAAAACTTGACACAGCTCATACAGAGGTAATAGTTATCACACAAATCTTTTTATGCCAGTATTTGAAGTTCTTTTTAATACTCAACTACATTTAGCTCAATTGCATTTAGCTCATTCATAGAAAAGGCAGTTTCCTCAAAATATTTTCAATTTATTTTAGTAAGACTTTAATACAGTGGGAAACATTTTTGTAAAACACAAAACTAGCGAGACCACCAGAGAGTTCTGGCCTCCCTCTGGCCTCCAGGCTGAGAACACAGGGGACTGCCTAAGGGTGCCCGGATCCTGCCACCATGTAGTGAAGGAAGCCTGAGTGTACCTGACTGGAACCTTAATTGGGCTTCTGTGGGTACCCCTGAATAGGTGATCTGAAGCCATCAGTTCCCTCCAAGTTAAACCTGAGAGAACCTGAACTCTGTGCCAACAAGCTTTACATAACCAATAAAGGATCTAGCCACCCCGATAATAAAAACAGAAGCATATTTCAACATAATTCTCCTATCAGAATCATGAAAAACAAAAGAAATTCACATACCCAAATCACAATGAAAGAATAATAAAATGGAAAGCCAAAACACTATGTCCCCACCAAACTCCACCAAAATTGTAGAAGAGTTCTACAAGGAGAACCCCCTAGAGATAACCCAGGACATTGAATTTAAAAGAACAATCATAAACATGATCAAGGAATTCAATAAATTTAAAGAACACGCAAACAAACAAACAACTAAAAGATAGGGATAAACTTCTGAATGAATTCACAAAAGAGATAGAAACAGAAAACTCAGGCAGAAATGAGAAAGGAAGTGCAAAACTCAATAAGCCAACTTGAAACAACAGGGGAAAGCTTTACCACTAGAATGAATGAAATGGAAAACAGAATATCAACACTGGAGAATAAAGTTGAAGAACTGAGCCACTCAAACAAAGATTATGAAAAATTCAAACACACACACACACACACACACACGCACACACACCACACACACAGAGGAATGGAATATGCAAGAGATGTGGGATACCATGAAAAGATCAAATCTACCTATCATAGGCATTAGAGGAAGAAGAACTTCAGATTA